GGTCCCATGTTTGGACGTTTTGTACGTAGTCAGGCTGCACTTCACTCCAGAAACTTTTGTCATATAGTAAAACTTTCGTTTTCATGTGTGTTGTGCAGGTGAATTTGGGGTTGCAGCAGGGTTTATCAGGGGTCGAGCCGGAGAAAATGGGCTTGAAGGTGTACGGTCGGTAGTCATGTAAGGTGGTAGGTGGGGGACCGACAGCGGTTCGTGCATGTTAGGCGACATCAAGGCGTCTTTCAGGAAAATATTTTTTTTTCGTTGACCCACACGCACAGTTTCGTAGATGAAAATAAGGGTGTTTTGCCAAAGGTGGCATTTCCAATGCACCATTTTAATTTTTTTTCCTGGTACTGCTTAAGAAGGACGAAAAAAAAAAGATTTGATAGAAAATAGAAAGCATCCCTAAAACGAACCTATGGCCTCTTAAATTTCGTTTATTCTCTCAACCAACTGAGCTACCCCGCTCCCCCGCGCCCAGCCACGGGAAGCGCTTCGGGTTCACCAACAGAGATTAATCGCTTGGGCTTCCTGACTGGTGTGGAAGCAACGTGTGTGCTTTCCAACTTTTGATAGGTGTTAGAGAGTCAGGGTATGATGGTTTTACCATAGAACAGAGATGAACTTATAATTGCCTCTGGAACCGAAAGTAGACTTCGACAATTGGATAGGTAGTGTAAAGCACATGAGTGAAGAATATAGCTTTGTTGACTAAAAGGTTAAACCACCACTACCGTCGATCCTGTTTTTGTCGAGCCTGATTTTCACTGTGCACCAAGTTTTGCTCAACCGGGGCAGTTTCGTCCAAGAAGCAAGGGGGGGAAAAAAAAACCCTTCCCTGACGCGACAATAACCACCAGATACATTATTTGAGGTGCTTATGTGACTGTGCCCTCGGTGAAGGCGTGTAGCAGACGAACAACGAGGGGGGGAAAACAAATCTCCCTTATGATATGATTGAGGGTGGATACAGAATGCTACAATATTTAGAAGTTATGTGTCACCCGTGAAATATGCACTGTCTGGCAGGCAAGACACTACAACGATATGAAACCATTAAAAAAATAACAACTAAACTGTTACCCCACATAGTGGACAAATACATTCCTCAAAGCATTGGTGTTACATGTCACCCTCGTGAGGGTTTTCCCCGACATCCCCGGATTCAAAACCTATACTATGGTTTGTTTGTTTTTTCATTTTTATTTCGTTGTCCTCCAACCCTGCACCGAGCCCCGTGTTTTCAAGTTGTAAGTATCTGTAGAAGAGAGTGGTGGTTAAAAAAAAAAAAAAAAAAAAAAATCCCTAAAGTCTTGTTAGTTGTCACAAACATTCTATGGAGTGCTAGTGTGAACACGTATCTCAAAAGAGCGTATGGCGAAAACACAGCAGAAGAAGAAAAAAAAAAAAAAAAAAAAAATCATTATGTCATGAATGTGATGAGATACACGGTGCTCCAATGCTAGTGTGTGCAGAGGACATTGTGCCCGGTCAGATACACGATACTTTCACTGAAAATACGTCTTCGAAACAAAAGGGATATATGTAGAAAACAAAGGGCTAATTAGTTTATTGATTAGGTGAGAGAAGGGCGCACACAAGGGAGAGAGAGAGAGAGAAAGAAAAAAAAAAAATGTTTTTTTTTTGTTTTTTATTTTCTTTGAGCATTTCTTGATTTATGTGTGTCATCCTAAAGCAAGGGTCATGAAAATGTTCTCTGTATCGTTCAAATTTGGACTTTGTGTTTTTCTTTTCACCATTTCTAGATTTATGCGTGTGATCCTTCGACAGGGGTCATGGGAGTAGGGTGTTGCACGAACTAAGGATGGGTTCGAAAATAAAGTGAAAGAAGGGGAAGGATGAAGAAGTGAGAAAGGAGAGGGAAAGGAGGGGAACGATAATAAAGTGGGAAAGAGAGAGAACTTTTGAGGGAACCAGCTACTGGACAGTTCGATTACTCTTTCGTCTCTATACCCAAGTATAACAAACGATTTACATAATTTTTTTATTAAAAAAATAAAATAAAATAAGAGGGTAATTCTTATATTTACAAGCAATTCAATTACCTGTCAAATCTGGACAAGACAACCTTTCAGACATTTTTTTAATCAGTATAGTATTACGGCGAACCCATAGCAGTCAGCCCGAGTTTAAGCCTCCAACGCGGGAACATGCAGTTAATGCGCCCAACTTGCAGGTTGGCGATACCGGTCAGGGGTCATGCGGGGGCTGCATCCCGACACCCAAAGAAAATACAGGCCTACAAATTCCTCTTTTGCAACAAATGATCTTGGTCGCTGATCTTATTAGATCAGCGACCTAGATACAATGTTTTTTTTTGTGTCCCAGGTAATTCAAAATTATTGTATTTCACTTATCTAGTTCAAACTACATTCTAACTCCTCTGGCTTCAATCCCGTGGAGGCCTGGGGTATGCTGAGATAGTGAGTTTGATCCCCCTGGTCGGTATGAGTAGGATCTTTAGCCAACACAGGTGTGAGTTTGAGTGGTTTGTGTGTGGTGTGTGGGAGAGTGTTGGCCTTAGACTCTGCTTTGACTCAATGGGAGTGGGGGAAAATGAAAAGGGAAGTACAACTACAGGCCAAATGCTCGGTGTTCATGTGAGCCCCACCCCCACCGGTGACCCCAACCCTGCACCCTAAACCACCAGGGCAAGAGGCAACATGCAAATTGAATACCCCCCTTCACCAACAGAGGTAGCTAGCTATTCTTGCAAGGGTACCCTGTATAACTTCAGGAGTAGTGCTACACTGGTAGATAGGTTGTTAAGGTAAAGATTTTTTTTTTAATAGAGAAAACTACAGCGGAATGAGGGTTTAAGTTTGCAAATGCACTTCAGGCGAAAGGCCTTGAAATATCAAATGTATACGAGCTAGCTTTGGGGTGTGTTATGTTCAGGGGACTGCTTGAAGTGCATTTTCAAATTGTTTTTGTGACTGCCGCGTAGTTACCTTTTTTTTTTTTTTTTTGGACCATTTCTCGATTTACGCTTGTCATCCTTCTGCAAGAGCCATGCCTGTCATCCTTGCGCAGGAGCCATGCTAATCTTCTTTGGATGTGCAGAGAGAGGAGTATAGTGTAGCTTAGGGGGGGAAAAAAAAAAGGACACTAGGCTACCAGCCGGGTCGCTTGGGTCACCTTGTTTGCCCAGGCAGCCTGGCCATTCAGGGACCATGGAAGGTTTTTTTTTTTTTTTTTTTTTTGGGTATACGAAGTGACCAGCCCCAGGGTTGTCATGCGGGGATCCCCGGGGCCCAAGCCGAGGTAGGG